ATTTTTGCTAATATATTTCATTAAAATATAATTCATACTATTCATAGTAATTAAAAAAAAAAACATATAATGCTTATTTAATATCTAATTAAAGATAATATCATTGGTTAATTTTAAATTGTATTAAATTTATTCGATAATGGCTGTACATACAATAAAGTGGCATAAACAGTGAAGTAAGAATAGTTACATAAATAGTTACCTATACAAAAATGGTGAAAACAAAAATTATGAATGAACAAATACAAGTAGGTAGCTAAAGTAAATAAAATACCTTGTCAGTAAAGTCATATTGATTTGTTCCAATACGATTACACCACTGATTTCAAAATACAATTATTGTGGWGGATATTATAATTTGATGTATTAATATAATATAACAATTTCAATTATCGAAGTGTTTCATCATTGGACTTCCCTCATAATGTGTGCTGTTTTTATTATTATTATGTATTATTATATATGTCTATTATACAGTATTTTACAGTCATCGCTTTTACTCACTTCATTTAAAAATAAAAATTGTAAATTTTCTTAATAAAAAAAAAAAAAAATGTTTAGAATTTTGAAATAACATTTCCAATCTGAATAACCACACGTTTTGCAATATTGCTTTTATTTTATCATTATCAATGTATATATATAATATTATATATAACTTGTAAGTTTATGAACTTAACTCTATGGCCAATTTCGAGACTTCGTTCCTTTATTATAATATAAACATGTTAAATAAACTAAATAAAATAAATAATTTTAAAATTTTGAATACAACTAAATAATGTATACATTAAAAAAGTTAATTCAATACAATTTGTATCAGACAAGTTCAATGGAATTAGCCGTAAATTCAAATACAAACTTATGAGTCAGAAATCATGCACGAATACTGAAATTGGTAAACACATATTATTTATCATTTCTTTAAGAAAACGCATAATATTTTATATTATATGAATACTCTTTCARTAGAGGAACCTAAATGTGTCCTAAATGAACCGTTTATTAAATKATTCAGTCATGCACGTTTTCTATACACCAAATAACTATATAACTATTTAAATTTAAATCTGCGTATTAATTTTAAATGTGTAACGTACAATATAAAATATGATTTTTATTATTTTTTAGATTTTCAGTGGATTGATAAATGTGATTTATTCTACAATGATTTTCTTCTCATTATTTTTTTTGCGCCTATCATCATGTTTTGGAGTGCAGAAAAAATGCTTTAATATTCCACTTATTGGATGGTATTTTTCTGGTAGAGAATTTTGATCTAGCTTAGCTAGTTATCTTAGGTCTTTGATGTAGGAGTAGGGAGGCACACAAGAAGAAAACTTACAGTACCTTCTAATAATAAATTGTAAATTATGTAACACATAAAGCCTATAAGCATGGTTGAAATATGCAAGGTTATTGCATATCATCAGATACAAAATGGCTGCGTAAAGGGATATCACAAATTACAAAACATATCAATTTTTCTTACCATGAAAAATTCGCTAGCTGTCAGCGGCTGGCATAAARGCTCCCGCGCATAATATAATATACTTAATCATTATTGGTTTCCTTTACGCTGTCATTTTTGTTTTTATCATAAAATATTTGATTGAGAGAGGATATATAATATGCAATAACCTTGTATATTTTAACCATGATTATAAGTACCTACATTAAAGGGACATACGAGTAGTAAATATTTCCTACTCAATGACGAGGTATACTAACCGACAATTACAATATCTGCACTTACACCGGATTGATTTCCTTTGTTTTTTTTTTTTTTTAAACCGAAAATGCGTTTAAAAATAGTTTTATTGCTTTTCTTTTAAGTGATCGGTTTTAAATGATGAATTTATTCATAATATCACATCATACCTGTCTTCGTAGCAGTGGTTCCCAAACTATGCACTACGGTCTACAGCTCATAATAAATAATCATGGGCGTCCCCATGGGGGGCAAGACGGGGCACTTGCCCCCCTGGAATAATGCTATTTCCACAGCGATTGGTAAAATTCTGCTACAATAATGTTTTTTAATGTTTTAATTGTAATAATAATACCTACCTAATTGTAATGTTTTAATTCATAATTATTGTAATAATGGTGAAACATAATAATTTACTAGGTATGAATAAAATGTATAAAAAAATTTTMATTTACTTTTAAAATTAATCCCCTTCCCTAGAAAAATGTTTGGGGACTCCCATGTAAATAATTTAAAATGTATAGAACTTTTTTTTTCAAAAATTCTTTATTAATGTGTTTTTTTTCTGTCTCATCTTTCATGGTGTTCACAATAGGACACTGTGGCTATATTTGGTCCAAAAAAGGCATCACGGAAAAAAAGTCTGGRAACCGCTGCTTTATGGTCTCGTCGTCGATTATTGCTAACACGATTCTAAAAACTGTACACGCAGCAGCTAGTTAAAGATAGTACGGAAGATACTTGTTGTAAAGATAAGAACACAAATAATGACAGCAGTGCTGTCCGTACAATTTGTCGTGATATACATATAGATATACATCCTTGTGCACGAGAATATTATATAGAATACAGCTTGGTAGGTTGTAGGTCAAGTGATCTGATCTGTTGAATGGTCGACAAAACGATACAAGTCCAAAGATAATAATCTGTATGAATGATACACACATATTATATATATTATTTACATAAGTACCTAAACCAATGTCGGATGAAATGTTTATAAGATATTATGGTCTAAATAATTGTAACCACGTAAAGTCGACGAAAATCGAACAAATGGTATTCCGCTGTCTACATATTTTGTCGCGAGATATTCTGCACACGCACAGTTGAAACATAAAAGTATTACCTATATACCTAATTGCACGCACTAATTTTCGGGTCATCGTAATAATAATAATAATAATAATAATAGCAGTGTTTTTATTTTTATCGCGATGCATATTATTATATCTTTGTTTATACTTTTATCGAAGTATATTACACGTCATGCGCACTGTTGACTGTTTGCATTATCATTATACAATGGCGAGTCACGCGAGTACGCGACCGACGGCTTCATGCGCAAAGTCGTCGTTTCCGACATTTTAATTACAATCATCCATGGAAAATAATACATAACGTACAGGTCATCCCTTTTTTWWAAAAAACTTTTTACCAAAACCTAGGGCCAGGCGGGAACACAATACCTAACCTAACCCAACCGGATCCGTAACGATTATTCACCCGCTGACTTGAAATTCATACATATACGCGCGTGGGCCTCTAACCATCCTGAGAGGCCGAATATCATTTGCGCATCGTCTGCTTACCTGTASCAAATTATCGTACATCAAATGCTCATCAATATTCTAAACAATAGAAGGTTATAATGAATTGTGTTAGGTACATTGCATATTATTTAGATGATAAATAATTTAAGATTTTTAAAATTAAAAAATATTTTTATACGTAAACATTTTTTTGTTCAAATGTTGACGAAATTCATCAAAAACTCGAAATTGTAAGTCACAAAATTATATTTTTACTTAGTATATTGTATAAGTATATCACCTTATACATATGCAATATTCGAAAATTCAACATAACGTGAGTAAATTTAGAGACGAGCARTGTTTAAGACCAAAGTTAGAAAACAWTCTGCACTTGGGGTACACATTTTTTGTTGTTTCATTTCTATTGTTGAATAATTTTGATGTCCAAAATAATGTCGGACGTTTTAAACGGCCAATGCAGCGCAAACGATGTATAACCCAAAAACCGAACAAATGTCTTACAAAAAAGGTTAAAATTAACAATAGTGATGCGCAAACAATAACCAGCGTCCTGAGAAGATGGACTTGGGCCCACAGAATTTTACTACGCTAACCTACCCTGCCCGTACCCTCATACCTTCCTGTATCGCTCAGCAGCATCTCTCGGCCCGAAACCGCCTCCACCATCCTCTGCACCACCACCGACGCCTCGATCCGCTATCTTCTCGTCATCAGGCTGCAAGAGCTCCTGCTCCGGCCCCATAACGATGTCTGGGATATCCTCTTGCCGTATAGTTTCCGACCGATGTACTGTTTCATCTAGATCCCGTCTTCCGCCACGGATAGGCCATCCCCTTATACTAAACACCCACGAAGTTCCGGYTTATGCCCCAGCAGTACCACGCCATTGTCGCCAGTAGCAACCGATAGATGACCATTTTGAGTTATCACTACGCGCTGATAGTTTTTATCAATTAAATAACAACGTTCACAGGTATAGATAACTAACCATAGACATAGACAGGTATAGTTTGGTAACTGCTTTTATCGGTAATGTGGAGATTTGAAGCCGGTAGCCGTCATTTGTAAAAAACGCAGCTTAAAGTTCATCATATAACACAGAGTTCAATGTCGTATTACTATATCATTTTTATGATATTTATTTACATATTATCTTAGGTACCAATGTTCATAATTATTTATTATAACTTGTATATGATCTATAAATTCTATGAGTTTAACCAAATAATTGGATACTTACGTAGCTTACGAAACTTGCGCCTTGTCTTGCCCACCTCTATTAGAACGACCAAAAGCATGAAACTAACACAATGAACTTTMAAAGTGCCTATTAAAAAACTAAATCTTTATTGYTAGAATATTTGGAAATTTTAACAGAACTACTGAAGTAATCGTACTAATTTATATTTTCTTAAATTTCATGTTATACGCCGTAATATTGCCAACGTGTTATTTGTAATCAGTAATTATTATAAAATAATGTACAATAATATTATTTTATTTAAAGTTGTATGAAGAAAAAACAATAGAAGAAAAAATGACTTGTTCGTGGGATAAAAAATGTATATCATCTATTTATCCAGTCGTCGGATACACGAAAAAATATGATAATACGATCACTTCCATAATAATATCTCACACAGACTACACACACAGTTTTTTTTACAAAATATTATTAATGGCGTAACACAAAAATTAATGAAACCGTGTGTATATGTTTTGTTGTTCATCAGATGGAACGCGTTCCCGGAGACAACAATTACCTGCCACTTCGAAACACTCCGTCGAGGGATTTCGAACGCTTCATCGGTAAGATTTATTCACGTTCATTATCATTCGCACTCACACATTACGTGCACCTCGAGATCATTATATATAGGTCACATATTACAAAACCTACGTGTAATACGCATGACTAAAACATTATTAATACAACGATTTCTACACAGCTGGCCTCTAGCGTATTATTTATAATTATTATGTTCTATATATAGTATAACATMATAATATTATTATAATATTATTGTGTTATCTAACCGAACAATAATTGACATGGCTGCGCACGATTTGCATGTCCCGCCAATAATAATATACGCACACTAAAATGATCCAAAATACGTATAATTAAGTACCTACACGCGTGCCTATTTAAATATTAAACACCGCAATAATATATGTGTGTGTGTGTGTAGGTRCCTATCTATATATACGCGTGTTTGCAGTATATAGCAAAAAGCATGGTCGTAGATATATATATACATAATAATATAATGTTTGTATAGGTATACTTAATTTCTACCTTTTAAATGTAACGGATGTAATATCGCATGTATGTTATTATTTGGTCTTGTTTCGCGAGCGCCAATATGACGACGATATAACACCTATATAACAAACGCTGATCCGGCCTAGCTGCAGTATATACTATTTAATATATAAATATATATACATGTATTACTTCCGGTTTCTCGCGTCCCAACGAATTGTGCATTGGATCGGTTTAATATACGTAGGTACACTAATTCGTATTCTCTTTGTGCGGTGTGTTCGCCTTTAAATACAAGAACACGTCTCCCACCAGAAACGATTTGAGGTGTGTGTGTTTGTGTCTTTTTATGCATAATATTACACTGTATAGCTCGATTAATCACACATACATACGGCGCGGTGTGGCGAAACTATATGGAGGTACACTATAGCATCTCAAAATTAACGATTTAAGCATCTCCCGAGTTCCTTGTCTATATATACATTTAAGCAACTAGTTTTAACTAAAAGTTCCGTTTTATTTTACTTTTCAAGAATTTGTTATTATGGTTCACATTTGATTTTCTCATCTTTTTTCTAGATAGGCAAATAAAAAAATATTGGCTAAGATGCATATCAGTGCAGGCCGATCGTACATCACCAGCGTTTCGTAAATTTAAGTATTTATAATAAACATCGAAAGAGATGTGGTTAGTGAAATTTTAGCATATATTAAAAAAAAAAAACTAAGGGTGCTTAAGAATTTTCTCATTTTAATTGAAGTTTTTGATACATAAACAYGAACATTATTTTAGGGTGCTAATTTTAAAATGTGGGTTGCTAATACAGTATCTAATACCGTTAAGCTCTCCCTATTTRTACCTATGAATTTTACTAGAAAAAATATCAAACACACGTTGCTGTCATGACGGAAAATCATTTTTAATATTTTTTTTATGAAATACGATAAATATGCGTTGAGAATTTTTTTTAACAATAGCTCGCGAATATTACAATAGTCATAATGTGTATTTTTGGGGCCATGTGATCGTTACATTATTTTAGCACCTCCCATAGTGAATTTATGAACTATTATACAGTTATGCCACACATAAACACACACACAACCAATATTATATTCTTTTCCACCGTAACCTCTCTCGAAAATTAGACTTACGCGAATGTGGTGCATATTTCAGGGAGTTCATAACACGCCTCAGGTAATAATTGTACTCTACAGTCGACAATAACCATAATCGTTCAACAAGCGTAATATATATGTAGGCAATATCTATATAATAGTATTTAATCATATTACATCCATTACCATTTATCGCACATTTAAATGAAGGTAGTCATCGTTTTTTTTTTTTTTTAGTGTAGATCTAATTCGCGTATACGAAACGAATTGTACTTACAAGTCGTATTCCGTATGCCTTTATTATTATTATTGTTATTCCGTAATATAATAATTATACGAATTTTAATATCCCTACTAACACAACTATCAAAATATAAGTAGTAACTTACCTACTATAACTGTGTATAGTAACATTTCTTAATGTTTTTTTTTTTTTTTTTAATTTGTATTTACATTACGTTTCTATAACTTAATATAACAATTCAACATAGCACGTTGTTGATGTTTTCACACACGACATATAACAATTACCCGTTCCGAAACATTGGATTCGACCGCCGAGGCGCCGATCCCCTGTGGGGTAAGTTCGCTGTTTGATTTATGCACAGAACTCGGTAAGTGAAGTGCTGCAGTAAGAGCTGATCGCCTCCCATGGTGTGACAGCCGACTTCCTTATAGTCCACGTCTACGTATTATACAATATGTATAGTTATCGCGTCACCCTGCAGGGTATACTGACGCGTATATGATGATGGTCATCGAAACTGCGTATTATTACTACAATCAAAGAACTAAACTCTAAATTGAAACATATTTTTGTTTGAGAAAGAGAGAGAGAGAGAGAGAGAGAGAGAGTAGCGAATTTAACTTAAAAACACGAATTCGACGTTGTTCACGGAATAAATCCAATTAACTTACTCCGATAATGTTTAGGTAKGTACCTATTAATTGTTATTGTAGAGTAAAAAATCGAAAATTTAAATTTATATTTTAAAATTTATTTTCACACATTTATTATAATAGGTAGGATATAGTATAACATCAGTGTCTGTTATGACTATAGGAACTTTAAGGTTAGGGAATTATTACCCATCTCGACGTTGCAGGGAAGTGCGCTCAATTATAGTGTTAAATATAAGAAAACAAATGCGTAAATTGTGTAGTTTGGTGATTCGAGTAGTTCGGACACATATTAACAACGGTATAGGTTAGGTTAGGTTAACAAAAGTATAAACAAAGTCGACCGCGGTTCTGGTTAGTAGAGTTAACAGACCAAAATATGGATCATGGCGTTTGCAATGTTTGCTTCGTTTAAGCAAGCAGACAGCCCGATTTTCTCCGTTATCAAACGTTCGCAACGTTTCCCGCTATAGAATTTCCTCATAATCGCGTTTCGTCGGCATTCKTCAATGTCAAGGTCCTCTGCGCGAAGTAGATTCGACAAGGCAGAATAAAAATAAAAAATAAACCGGAAACCCGTTATGACGATCCCGAGAGTATACCCACCCTCGTAATACCCACATCCCGCCGACGTAACATATCCACCCACGAGAGTCACGTTAACATGTCACACGTGGTTCATGTGCACGTGGCTATATACATTGGTTTTGCAGACACGTTTTGTGACGACGGCAACCAATGTAATTCACCGAGAGGTATGATGGCCACCGTGGTGCGGGACACCTTGGACCGGTTGAACGGTGGCCACTATATGGTGGCCAAACGGAGTAGCTTGGACCGGTTGAACGGCGGCCACACTATGGTGGCCAAACGGAGTAGCTTGGACCGGTTGAACGGAGGCCACGTGATGGTTGCCAGACGTAGCAGCCTGGACCGGTTGAACGGTGGCCACGTCATGGTGGCCAAACGTAGGAGTCTGGACCGGTTGAACGGCGGCCACGTCATGGTGGCCAAACGTAGTAGTCTGGATCGATTGAACGGCGGCCACGTCATGGTGGCCAAACGTAGCCAGCCGGACCGGTTCAACGATGGTCTCGCCACAATCACAGAAAGTTTGGTTCCTGAACAATTGCAACAACAGCAGGCCCCTAATTATCAACGGACATCAACCCCGTGGCCGGAAATCGACGACTACTACTTAAAAGATGGCGATGACTTATACATTAAAGATTACGACGGCGATGACTGTTCGGCCTGTGGTTCATYGGCTAAGGTCTCGTCCTTTTAATATTTCTGTCATACTCTCTCGTCGACGTCCTCGCGTATATTATACACATGATTTTAATAATAATCTTAACAGGAGATTGCACCCGAATCAACTAAACCAGTAAAATACACATAAAAACCATTAAAAAAAAAATATTTATAAAAACTATTATCCACCCCCGTTCACTCGTCTTATAACCAAAAATATTTTTTAAAACACTCAAATTAATCAATAATTTTTCTGTTTAACAAACTCGAATAATAATTTAAAATAAATAATAATTGATAACAATAGTTGTGTTCTGGATCCAGCACCCAAAAAATGAATAATTGATTCGGGTGTAACTCCTTGATATTTAATACATAATAGATATACATATAATATATAGGTCACTTATATTGTTATTATAGGCACGACGGCATCGATTGAAATTAAAATATTATTGTGAGATAGACATTTTGGTATTAAAATAAATTATTTTATTATAGTGATTGAACGCTGAGACGATGATGAAAAATCCACTTGTTTATTTATTTCTATTTTGGTGTTATTTTTTTTTAAGAGGCCACCGGAAAAATCATTCGTATCTTTTAGTCTTTTCGTGTATATTTTATAAATTATTATATTTTTTTCTCGGTATTCGCGTGGTTCACCTCGACGACATTTTAACAGCGCTATCACGTAATCCTTTATATCAAGCGCTCATTCATAAAAGATTAAAAAATCTATCGTCGTGTAGATGCAAACAAATCGACGGTTTTATTAGACCATAAATTTCCATAAGAATATTGTAAATCTTAGATTGTGTATTAAGTGCGTAAAATAATKATTAAAAATTGAATAGAATCTATATTTGAAAAAAAAAATATTTGAATTGATTATTAAAAACGTTCGAAAAATACAGTTGAAAAAAATAACTTACTAGAATACATTTATAATTCGTGTGCAAAAAAACTAAAATATTAAAATATTTTCAATAAACTTTTACGAAGAATACGATTATYCTTGTTTTTATTTATATACATTTCGTGAATAATTTTTTTTGTTATTATCGTGACAATATTTTTCGCTGCAAAACAAATGCTTCAGTATTCAACTTCGAGGGCGGTTCCTGGTGGAAAATTGATCTAGACAGTAGTTTGGGGATCAAAAGAAAAATATATTGATACAATAATCCTTGACACTAAGTCAAGAAGTTTCAAAATGTAGTACAAGATTCCTCATGGCTCACGAGACTTCTTTATAGGTAGTAAAAATATAAAAAATGTACAAAATATTATCAATTTCCAATAGTTTTATCAAAATCAGATACTGAAAGTCAGATTTTGTTGTAATTATAAAAAGATAAACCATATAATCTTAGAAAATGTTACTATTTCTTATATAATCGTGTTTGACGAATACATTTAAGAAAAATTTTGACTAATTTTAACCTATCATAACCTCTAAACCATAATAATCATACCGTTTTACGGTGTTATAAAAAGCTTATATGTTATATACCTACAGTAACATACTGCATTACCTACTAATAACAATATAAATATTATATTATTRTATATATGTATTATACGTAGAAGCTTACACGTCATTACYGCAAACAAAATCGTTTTTTGTACGCAATTATTTTTCATTGAATTAAAATCCAACACATCCGTCACAATTTACAGTGACTGCTTGCAACTCTATGACCCAATTCGAAACAGTTAAGCAAGTCTGTATAGACTATTTACAGCCCTGAAAATAACAAAAATACGTAATTATAAAGTCATATTTTTAATTAGTTATGACATATATATTTAATAAATAACAAGTCCAGGGCCGTAGTTAGGAATTTTCTAGCAAAAAAAAAAATGACACCCAAAACGTTCTAAATGATATAGTTATGATAATATTTTTCTGGTGGCCTTGAGATCCTTACACATACACATAAGTAGTATTCAACTATATAGTATTTATTAGATCACGTCTTATTTTACTTTACGTTGAATGTTCAACTCGAGGTACCTCATTGCTGTTTTTTTTAGTTTTAGGAAATAAAATAAAAATGACGTTGGTCTCGAAATAAAATGTTGATTACCTACCTATGATTTTTTCGAATTGGAAATTCACACGRTTATTTTGTTTGTCATTGGTATTTTTTCGAACWGCAGAAAAGATCCATTTTAGACGTTTAAGATGTGATCTAAAATTATTGTTATAATAATATACGATACGAAAACATAATCATAATAAAACGTTACAGAAACTACAAAAACCAATTGTCACGCTCTCATATGATATTCAGTATTGCGCACCGAAACAGAACGTCATAATAGTTTAGGGACTTTCGAGACGGACGAAATTCTGCAGTGATCGTGGCAAACCGGTAACAATAAAATGTTATTGATTTCAACTCTGCAGCCACGGTGGGTTGCACTACTAATAACAATAATAACGTACATCACTCCTATCACGTCAAATGTCGTTCGGCCTGTTTCCGAAAAAAAAA